GGAAAAAGAAGCAGTGTGAGATGCAACATTGGATTATCGGAAATTGGCAAGTGTTGAAGCATGCATGCTACCTTGAACACATTATGGCCATTCTCTCACATCTTCCTTGTGTTCACAAGGCTAAATTGACCTGATTGATTGATGATACAGAATCCCAAGGGTATTGAGTGGCTTTGGAGTTCACCAAGATTGCATCAATTGTCAATGACATTTTCACTAATCTTCCCAGACCAGAGAAGGCTGCTGGCATGCTAGCTGAAAAGTTGCCTGCAATGATCCCACCTCTAGGGTAAGGATAGCTCTGCGACCAAGCTGACACAACTCTGCTAATGAATTGTAGTGCCATGTAAATATCCAGTTCCATCAAAGCAAAGAGAATCTGCAACTTGAAAGATAATATACATATATATAAGAAAGGTTCATAGTTTTTATGATAAACTGATTTTTTATTATAAAAAACCGAACATGGACTTTTCATCCATTCTTAAACATAATCAGAATTCAAATTTATAGTCAACAACTACCACTTTTATCCAATATTTTCAAATTCATTAAATGATATCCATCAAATATATATTGTTAAGCATATTGTTTGAGTTTAGTTCACATTCATAGAGTGTCTAACAGTTTCTTGATTCCCATATTTGTTAATATTCTTCTTTGCAACATATTTCTCTATTTAATTTATTATCTATCTTAATTAGCTTATTTAATTGAATGATTACATTTATTTTCCTTTTTCTAACTTAGTTAAATAATTATATTGATTTATTAAATTTTGATTTCTTTCTTTGTGTCTTTGTAATGAAAGATAATTATAATTATGAGTATAAATATAAAGAAGATGATAATGTTGGTGGTCATTGATATGACATAATTTCATTTGCTTCAAGTTCTAATTATTTAAATAGTGGTACTAAAAGACCTTTTAAAAAAGAATTATAAATAAGGAATAATAAGAAACATGTTAAAAAAAAATTTCCAAATATTTATTTTGTCAAATTTTGTCAACTAACATCAAATTCATGTAATTTAAATATTCAAAATATTTATTTAAAAATACTATTAATATTGTAGAGCATACATTAAACATCTCTTTTGTAATAACAAATAAATAAAATAAATAATAAACAATCTTTTGATGATTAAATACATTGATGTAAAAGATGGCATGCTTTTAATCATTATCTTTTGTTATTAATAAAGTACTATAATTCTTGGGTTCCATGGTAGACCTAATAATGTAAATTAACTTAATCTTAACTATTTTTATATAGGGGCAATTCTATATATCACTTAATGTTAAGGAAAAAACAAAGATAACGAACAAATGGAAGATTTTAATAATCACATTACAAATTTTGATCCCTGAAATTCTTGGTAACACCAATGTTCACTTTGTCTGGTTTTGTTGCAATATGTCCCATATACACATTGCAAATGCTTATTATTGCTAATACATATTGACATGCAGATCATACAGATCATAGGTGATAGGTATTGTTGTTAATTAGGTATTTGAGAATAATAAAAATGCATATAGCTAGTAATATACTTGACAAATGTCATTTTCTAATGGTCTGGACCTTAGATATTTAAAAAAGTTGTTTAATAAAATAAATAAGTATCAACCTGTTGTTCCAATTAAAACATTATAAAATTTTGTTTTATGCATTGTCATCCACCTTTATATCTAATAATAATTTGGTTTTTAAAACTCTCAATTGAAGAGCAGCAACTTTATCTACAAGTAAAATCATTATTTCAAACTATATATAAAATTAATAAATATATGAATATACATTGTATTTATATATTTATTATAATTGTATTATATTGAAAAAATTTATAAATTGTTTTATATGTAAATATATTATAGGGAATATGTACAAATGCATGATTTATATAAAAAATAATCAATTTTACAATATAAAATATCTAGATAAAAAATTAAACATATTAACTCATTATTAAAATGTTATTATTATAATTATCAATCCAAATAATATAAATCTATATAATATATTTTGTAAAATATATCATCAAACTAATTAATGTTAATATTATTCTAATTGTTGTTGTTGCTATTATTCTTCCTGTACTTATTCTTGTTGGTTAAATGCAATTTTATTGTTTTCAAAGAATTCTCTTAGGTTTGAACCACCACCACCTGTTATAAGTTCAAGATCTCTTGTTACTTGTAATTTATGAGAAATCCCCAAATAACCTTGCAAACCCCATAATTCCAACAAATAAGCAGTTAGTTTATTGTCAGCAGTCAAGTCCATCAATACTTGCCTTAATTGATTGACAGGCATCAATTTTATCTTAATATCACAACCAAGACCTAATGATGCTTTTGATCCAATTTCATCAATAGTAAGTAAGTTTGGGCCAGTTATTTTGTATTCCTTCCCTCC